TCCTCAGCTGGCCACTGAGTGATCACAATGGGCATAGCGCTCACATACTGTCCCTTACACGAGCATTAAGTAACAAAGTAGCCTGCAGCTCCGAAAAAGCCGTAACGTACACGCGTTTATATGCGTCCTTCTGCGTTGTCAGTGAAAGCGGCTTTCCACATGCACCTGCACGGTGACATCGTCTTCATTTACAGCCTACCGAGAAATGATGTTGCAAAAAAGTTCTCAAGAGGGAGCTCAGAAAGATAGCAGCTGACAAAGACGCTGTGGTGTTCTGAAATGTGTGTGTGGCATCGTCACGACATAATGGGGACTTTCTCTGTATTATCGTGGATTCTGGTTTATCTTGATGTCATGGCCAATGTAATAAACTGGTATTCAGAACAATGAATGAGTGAAAACGTGTTAGTGTGTGGTTTTTCGTAACGCATGGCGCTATGTGTTGCGAGAGATATCAAACATGTTCCTTGTATCTTTTGTGTCGCATTTTATACCTATAACTGTTCTTGCAGTGCTTCCGTCGTCGTGACCCCGTCAGGCTTTGGCTCTCTTCATCTAAACGACGGCAGAAGCTGGCAGCTATAAACAGAAGTATTCGGTCACAGTCATCTTCCATCTGGGCTAGTTATCTGCCAGCTACATTCGGAGCAAAGATCTGAGAGGATGTCGCCTTCGTTAACCTGGCCAGCTGCTAAAGCCATAAACATCCATCCACCCAGACAGTTTTGATGTGGAAATAGACTTTTCCACTCGGGTGACGGTTGACGGACGTTATATTTCACAGCCTCCTGTCCACGTTGGGCTTACGCAACCACCGTTCCCGAAGTACAGGCTGCGCACTTGCGGCCGCTTCGTTGGCACGAGCTGTACGTATACGGAGCGGCTAGCACGTGCTGTTTGTTGGCCCTGTCCCACAGGCACACCGCGTCAGACGCAGAACGTTCAATGGTGAGTCTTAATGGCGCATTTTACAACGGCAACAACCGCGGCAACTTTTGCCACGTGTTGACTTCGCTTATTTTTTTGTTTAAAGTAAGCACGGCGCAAACTGTAGGCATGCTATGCGGTCATTACCAGTGCTTGTTTCACAGTACCACAGAATACCGTTCATAATATTATTTTGTGTAAAACTGGCACCGATACTACAAACATCGTACGAAACTGCACGTTCCAAGTGCAGAACCAGAACGCTTTTATTCAACGTGCTGCGCTTTCAATATAGATAAGAGCTGTGCGCAACGATACATTTAGCCAGCGCATGGTAGTTATATCGCATGCATACAGGATTACTGTGAAGCGATGTTGGGCATTGACTACCATGGAGCACATTGGTCTTTACCAAGTAATCGTCAATATAGATAAGAGCTGTGCGAAACCATACTCTTTAGCCAGCGCATGGTAGTTATATCGCATGCATAGAGGGTTACTGCTAAGTGCTGTTGGACATGGACTATACTGCAGCATATTGGTTTTTACCAAGTAATCGTCAATATAGATCGGAGCTGTGCGCAACGATAGTCTTTAGCCAGCCATTTTTTCTTGTTTTTGTCGTCAAAATACGAAGTTTTTTTGTTTTCAATACAATACTATGCAACGGAATACTGATATAGTCGAGCACTAACCGAACCATAAGCCTGATTTGCTTTCAATTAGCTTTTATAGTACTAATTTTTTTTCTTTTGTGCGTGCGTGCGCGCGCGCGCGCGCGTGCGTGCGTGCGTGTGCGTGTGTGTGTGTGTGTGTGTGTGTGTGTATGTCACAAATGCACATACGCAATGTACTGGTGAAGCTCGCACAATAACTATATATAACTGACGCAGTGACGCATAACGGCGTTCGGCTTCTGACCGAAATGTCCTGGTTTCGAAATCGCCGGCCACAGCGTTCGTCTTCAAGTCAATGTCAGCGCACGTCAAAGAAACCCTGGAGTTGTCAAAGAAACCCTGGAGTTGGAGTTGTCGGGAGCCCTAACAAGATAATCAGCCAGTACACTACACAATGAAAGTGCCGCAGGATGATAGTCGCCAATAAAAGACATCTTATAAATATAAAAATGAGCGTGCAGGGCAATTGTTGATTCACTTCAGAGAATCCACCGCAAGAACACACAGGACACAGAAAGAGACAATACGAAGCGGTTTCACGAAGTGGTTTTAAGTTCTTTCCGTGTCCGGTGTGGTTGATTTTTTTTTATTTAGGAAAGACTATGTGTTAAATCGATAGTTTTCTGATAGCTCTACTAACGAATTTACAAAGATCTCAATTATATGGTAACAAACATAGATCGACACATATATGTCGAATTTTCAAAAAAAAAAAAAAAGCAAGAAAAACGTTCGCACTATGCGAACGCGTAAAGACGTAAGTATTGCAAACTAAATATAAATATGTGGGGTTTAACGTCCCAAAACCACCATATGATTATGAAAGACGCCGTAGTGGAGGGCTCCGGAAGTTTAGACCTCCTGGGGTTCTTTAACGTGCACCCAAATCTGAGCACACGGGCCTACAACACTTTCGCCTCCATCAAAAATGCAGCCGCCGCAGTCGGGATTCGATCCCGCGACCTGCGGGTCAGTAGACGAGTACCTTAGCCACTAGACCATCGCGGCGGGGCTAAACTAAAGATACCTTTAGGGGTTTGACAGAGCCAAAATTTTTGTAGAAACAGTGAAGGTCACAAAAACGTTAGTACGAGGGAACAGTTTGTCGCCGAATGAAGGACCTTGAGGGCCTTCGATCTGTAACTGAAGTGGGCGTGGCCGCGGCTCTTGAGAAGCATAATACAGTAGCGGTGAAACGTAGCTTCACGTGGTGTTTCCGAGAACCTGCACTGTATAAGAAAAAACGAAGAGTCATTTGACTGTTTCTTGAAAGTTTACGACGTATATGACTGATTTTAAAATAAACTCGTGAACTCTTTTCGGAGATCATTGTACTCAGGGGGGCTCTACTTCATCCAGGATTAACCGCGGATTATTCGAATAAAGTTTATTCTCCCTCGCTCTCTCTTTCGAGCGCTGTGGACCAACCTTTCTCTAAAAAAATATTGTGTACCTCGTTCAAGCTTCATATATAAGGCAAGCCAGAACTAAACAAAAAAGTCCAATTTTTCATTTATGGCATCTTGCTGTTGTATGAGAGCGCTCTGATTCTACTTAAAAGTGGTGATTAAAACTGCTTTGAAGCTTTAGAATGAGATAATGTAGGCATGCAAGTCATTTCGTCCCTTTCTTATCATTTAATGGAGCTAACATTTTAGTATAAATCCTGAGTTCTTATTTTACACAAATTTTTCAGAGCCTCCGGTACTCTTGAAAACAGCCAGTCTAATATAGTGCTACGTTGTTCAACGCTTGTTTTTCATTCTGCCTCGATGCATTTTTTACTGAAAGAGATATTTGTTTGAAACATCCTCTTGCGTGAATTTGACCCAGTCCCCTAGGTTTTTTACAACAGGTTTGTAACAATTGCTCACATCTGGTCGCTCACGAAAAAAACAAAAAAACATGAGTTTTGGAATCTTCGCATCGTTTCTCGGCAGATAGACTCACAAGGTCAGAGGAGTTCTTCAAACTTTTCTCAATGTGAAGGTGAACATATTCGACACAGATCTGTCTGGCTGTGCAGAAATTCATACGAATAAAGTAAACTCTCCAGCCGCTTTTAGTCCAAAGTTTCTGATGTTAAAATTTAAAACTAAAAACCTACCCGAACTTACCTGTTGTATGCGTGCACGGTCTGCGGAACCAATGGAGAAAACACCACAGCAACAATAACGGCTGGAAGAAGGACGATGGAGAAGGGGACACCGCTAAGAAAAGTTGTTAGCTTCGGAGCCGGCCGAACAGTCATCCTTGAAGGAGGGACGGAATGGGTCCCGAAACGTCGGGTTAGTTTTTTCGTTTTTAATTTTAACTTTAGAAACTATAGACTAAAAGTGGTTGGAGAGTTTATTTTTTTCATATGAGTTTTCTTAATGTTGTTGATATTTCTTCGTTTTTTCCTCATGAAGTATTTGGTTTTTTGTTGTTGACGATGTTGTTGATGTTTTTGTAGTGGTTGTTGCTCCAAGCGACCGTGTCTCATATCCATACTATGGCGGATTCAGCCTAGATCGGAAGAGTTGTTACTGCCCAATAGCTTGTTCCAGCTACAGCGGCTATTTAAGTAACTTGAGTTAACGAAGAATGTGCACAAACAAATTCAGTCTAAACAATACTGCACCCCTCCACCACTTTAACAATGATGAAGTATAGAATCTGATTCAAATGAACAATATCAAATTATTAATGCCCTTCTTATTTTGGTAACCCGCTTGCTTATTTTTTCATACGTATGCCTTTCTACCAGGTTTGTAGGCCTAAAAGCTATGACCGTTAATGAGTGCGAGTCGTACGGTTCTTGCTATCTGCCCTTGAGGCCACTTGATGTAGTAGCAACAGTATGCCTATCTATCAAGTGCTGTGACTCAGTTATTAAAGCTTATGAAAGATTGCGTTGATTTAGCTGCACTTTTTTTCAAGGCATTTGAAACAAAAATAAGAATAAACAAAATTATCGTGTAGGGCATCGACCACTTTTGACTCGAATAACACATTGTGTGAACATGGGCAGCCGCACAAAACGTAATCTCACTCAACTATACGCCCTAAATATTTTCTTGTCTAAATTTGTTTGTGTACATTTTGTTCAGGCTGTTCGTAGATTTGTGCCAGTTCATTTCCTTTTTTTTTTTTCATTTTCGTTTACATTGCGGACATTCTATGCATCTGCCGTCACACATGGGCAGGCGCGTAAAGGATTATTTTGTTCACTGCGGGCTGGCTTGCACTGGCTGAAGCTCTTCTGATATCAACGCAATACGCATACATATCCAAGTGATAACGCAGAGTACATGATTTCTCTTACATGTACGTTAATTTTCATTAGCAATACAGCAAGTAGCTTGGTGACAGAATAATTGCTGTACAAAAAAAAAAAAAAAACAAACAGGGTGGGTTCTATGAGTAAGTGTACGAGGAAGAAGACCCCTTTTGGCATAGGAGGCGATCCCCTGCATTGGGTATGGGCCATCAGAGAAGAAGAAGACGAGGTGAGTATAGTCCTGTACATTCTCGCTGATTTATTAAAGTAAATATTTCCGTCCTGCATGTATCACGGGGTACATTAACCTCCCATTTCGAAACTGTTCAGCACTAGACGTATGTATGTGGGTGCTGTCAATCTTACAGCTGCTAACCAGCGTGATACAAAGAGCTGTCACAGTGGAATCACATTGAAGGCTGCTAGACGTAGGGGAATTTGCACGTCCTTGATTTCGTGTGTCAACCAAATACTGTGAGAGGCACCAGAGTTTGAAACACTGGCAGGGTGTGTGTTTAAGCATTGAGAAACAGGGGCATGGCAACAGTGCCTAAGGAGCACACATTGCTAGTTATAAAAAGCTGGGCACTGCAACAAGTTGTTATAAACACATTGCTAGTTATAGACACCTGGTCATGGTGACTTAGACTAATAAACACACATTGCTAGTTATAGAAACCTTGGCATGGCAACGTGGACTAATGAACACACGTTGCTATTTATAGAAACCTGTTGCAGGCAGCAGACTAATAGACACACATTGCTAATTATAGTAATCTGGGCATGGCAACAGACTAATGGACTGACATTGCTGGTTATACCAGCAACACACACACACACGCACACGCACACGCACACGCACACACACACGCACACGCACACGCACACACACACACACACACGCGCGCGCGCACACGCGCACACGCACACACACACACACACACACACACACACACACACACACGCGCGCGCACACACGCACGCACGCACGCACACACACACAGAGAGAGAGAGAGAGACAGACAGACAGACAGACAGAGCTAGTGCTATGGGTTGTTTTTCGGCATACTGATCTGAAAGGGTGGCCTTGTAAGAATTTGGGAAGGCCTGGAGCACCCTAAACCACTACAGTCTTGATAAGCTATAGTCGGGTAGTCCCTGTTGCTGTGGGAGGCAGAGATTTGCTGCCACCGGATATACACCTACTGGAAAATAGCCACAAATGCACTTCCGGCCAGGTGCGCAGCTGAATGGAGCAGACCACCCAAGCCATGGGAAATTGCGTGTGTGTGTGTGTGTGTGTGTGTGTGTGTTTGTGCGTGCGTGCGTGGGTGACATTCGTTTAATTCAGTCTTTCGTACACATCACTTGCTATATCGTGTTAATGACACGCTAGCAGGTGCAAGTGTCAAACCCACATGTATATAGCGCAAAAACAGCGCACAATGTATTTCTAATTTTCGTTTTTCTTCAATATATACTGTAATGACTCCTGCCGCTTCACTGCCGTTTTGTATATTCAAGCAACCGCGCAGTGTTCACAGGTGCTAGAGAACATAGCGACCGAAAAAGCATGCCGTCTATCTGGTCACCGCAGATGTCTCTCGTTAGAGACCGCATCGTGCACTCTCCTTACCCGGACGTCACCATACCGGAGTGCCCATTGTACGAATACATCGCACGATTCCTCGAGCGACATGCGGACAGGACGGCCTTCGTGAGTTCCCTCTCGCACTTTCTCGTACATTGGATTTGCTTCAGCCTCAGAGTTGCAGGCCTTAAATACGCAAAGCATGGTGTTGATTTTGAATGCGTACCGCTATAGTTAGTTGTCGCATTCACAATTTTTTGTGAGCGAGGAGCGTTATAAGGAAGCGTAAGAAGCTGGTGTGGTTGTTCTAAGTAACTTTCTGCACGATTGTATCGGGTAACTTGCGTGAACACAATGACACGTGCGCCTTCCTTGACAGACTTATCTTTGTTTCCGCAATGTTTTCTCTTATTATCACTGTGTTAAACAATAACGGTTCTACGCGTCTCCTTGTTCAGTGGTATCACGCGCGGATATGCTAATGTGCGGGAGTCTTGAGCGCGCGAGTTGATCATATATTAACGGCACAACGCGGTGAATTCACATGCGTCGTCACGCAGATCTATTGTTCCTGTTTTTATTGTTGGTGCCAATTGTTGTCCACTTAACAGCACTGTAGCCACGTGGTGAAATTTATAACTCTCTTTTCAGAACCTCGTGGTTGGGTTTAAAAAGGCGAGGAAAGCCAGATTAAAAAAAGTGGGAACTTAAGGGGCTGCTTTTACTTCATTAGACGTAATATTAACGAGAACGAACAGACAATGATGACAAGGAAATTAGAAATGGTGTTATTGGTGTGCAAACGAAACAAGAGACAACGCCCTTACGACTGGGTCGGCTGTTCTCATTCCTGTCTTGGCGCTGGTCGAGCACGAGGGCCCAAGCCAGATTAAAAAAAGTGGGAACTTAAGGGGCTGCTTTTACTTCATTAGACGTAATATTAACGAGAACGAACAGACAATGATGACAAGGAAATTAGAAATGGTGTTATTGGTGTGCAAACGAAACAAGAGACAACGCCCTTACGACTGGGTCGGCTGTTCTCATTCCTGTCTTGGCGCTGGTCGAGCACGAGGGCCCAAGCTATACGCTACCGCCAATCGTCATCACATCAGCAGCAATTTCAATCGAAAGGTGAAGAATGAAAAGGGGACGAAAAGATAACGTACTGTGGGCTGTTACCGAACCTGCGACCTTCAACTAATTCGTTCGTTGCTCTGTAACTGAGCTACAGCGGCATTCATCCCCCTGTCCACATTATAGGGTACATATATGTGCATATAAAGCGACAAGTTACCTTTTAGTCCACTATTGTTTCTTCGCATTTAAAACAATGACTTCTAATAACATCCCCTATACTTTCCACATCTGTAGCCTTGCGTGTTATGGGATATAAAATAGTAAAGAGGTGATAGTTTTGCACAAAGGTGACATAAGTGCACTGTTCCTTAAGAGTACATGTTCATTCGTTGCCCCCCTCCCCCCACCTTTTTTTTTTGCTGTAAAATGCAACGCATGGCTTTTCAATAAAACTATAGTTGGAGTCAGCGCCCGTCCTGGCATGTATACTTCTCCGTATTGTCCTCGTCAAATGTAGCACAATATCGTAAGGGCTATACTATACACACTTGTTATCGTAAGAGGACGCACTATTGTCTCAAAAGAACGACAAACAGCAATGAAAACACACTTGCCCACACTAGAACGCCATAGACATGCTTTATACCGCCTACATTGATCTCTACGTTGTCCCGTCGTCGCTGTCGCGGCTCTATTCTCAGAAAAGCCCCTCGTGAATTACTGTTTTCGTATCTCTGCTGGTTCAAGGTGGAAGGGGAGGAGGCCATCAGCTACGCGGTCCTGCAGACGCGCCTGGGCCAATACGCCGCGGGGTTCTACAAACACGGCGTGAGGCGCGGTGACCGCTTCATCGTGGCCGTGGATGGCTCGACCGACGCGCTGGTCTCCATCATGGCGCTCATGTTTTCCGGATGTGTGGCCTGCTTTGCCAGCGGACCCAGGACGGCGCGTAAGTGTACGCCACCGTACCGCCGACTCCGCTAAACAGCTGCTATTGCAAACGTGGGTGTCGGTACATTCGCATAGGCCTTATTGTAATTAATAGTTGTTAGGGCTTTACGTGCTGCACAACCATGATAAGATTATGAGGCATGCCGAAGAAAAGTGTCCAGATTAATTTTTGACCACCTCGGCTTTTCCAACGTGTATCTAAATCTAAGCACATGGGTGTTATTTGCAGTTGTCCTTCCATCTAATTAGGCCAGTCATGACCGGGGATCGTGCCCGTGATTTTGCATAAACATTAGAAGAGTGCCTGGCACAAACCATAGTTCTACTTTTTTGCTTTTGTTTTGGCTCCACGTTTTCTGACACTTTCGCAGTAGTAGACATCATGCGGGCAAAATTCTGAGGTTTAGCGCTCGGACATTTAAAACAGGTCTCGACACAAAATAATCAGTGCTGTAGTGTTATATACTAAAAACTAAAACAAACAAACAAACACACTAACCAACCGTGACATCAGTTGATGCTTTTACGGCCCGAGAATTATTCACTTTGTTAAGCTAAATATAGCCCAGAACGCGCAAGTCATGCAACATCTATATAATGCTATGCTATTTCAACAGCAATCACAGTGCAACCGTGGCTGAATTGGCAACCACGCTCCAAGGAGGAATAAAAATAACGTGCGTCTGTAGTACACCTATCTAAGGTTTGCGACGGCTGCGAAGTAAGTTGGAGACGATGTTAAAATGAGCAGCAATCTAATACATTCCAAGAGCTTAACTACCGGGCTGGGATCCTCGTAGGATCATTGAAGGCTGTAGGTTTCATTTCATGACGACGTACTGAATGAGAATAAACTTGAATACCTTTGCCGATTGTACAATCTTAAATCTATGACGGACGCCAGTAACGACCTCGGAGTAAGGCGTTGCGTTAGGTGGTATTCTGTGTGCGGAAGGGCATTGTTTAAAGAACGAAACCTTGGATCGCCTTACGTCCTACATCTATAGCCCCATGCAGCGGGCTGTGTTTGCACTAGCGCCTCGAGTTTGACGTTCGCGCTTGAGGACGCATTCCTTTGCATCCCATCTATAGATGTACAGTCCCCGCGTCCTTCGGCCTATGATGACATTTTTATCTTTTCTCAATGATTCTCGCGACTTCAATGACGACTATTTTGCTCGTGTCTGCTTAAACTAGCATCGGTGTGAGACAGTGCTGCATAGTTGCCACGAGGGACCGCTTTTACTGTCAATGACTTGGCGCTCCTGCGTTCGAGATCAAAGGCTCGATTCCTGTCGCGGCGACAACATTCAGGGCGGAACGTAAAACAAAAACTCTGGTGTGAGATTACCTCTAAGGGCACCTGGTGAAACCTCATGTTACAAAAATTTATTGCAAGTCACATATACGGTGGGGCAGATTGTGTTCACGCCATTAAAACAGGAAAAGTTAGCTATATTTTTTAATTTTAGCATATATTTGCGTGTGTTATGCGCTATATTTATTTTCCTGTTTTTCGCAAGTGTTAACAATTATGGTGTACCGTTTCACACCAACTTTATACTAGCATTTCAATTAAAAAATTATAGAATGGGTGCCCTAATTCTACTTTTTTTATTAATACAGAGATGGGAGTAGGACCTATAGCTTTGGCTTCATGTTTTCTAAGTCACAGTATATGAAAAAAATAAAGCGAAGCAACCGGGTTAAAATATCTTTCAACATGTACGACTTTGATTTGATTGTGTACCTTATTGCGGCGCAAACGACACAAAGCGATAGCGTGAATGTTAATAAAAAAAATCAGGAACAAGCCCTTGTATTTATTGCAGAGTTCTGGCTTGAATATAAAACTCCACAATTCTCGTAGATACTGCAGTAGCTTAAAGTTGTAAATAAGAATAGTTTATCACCGCGAAAGCGATTGCGACACTTTGAAAATCGCAAATCAGTCTTTCGGGCAATGTGTGATGTACGGCTTTTTTTTTTATGAGACAGAGGAGCTGGCCTACCAAGTGCAAGACGCCGATGCATCGTTCTGCCTCACGGACAACGAAAACTTGGCCTACATAATCGAAGAACAGCCTCAGTGCCGCTTCAAGGTGTGGTGTTCACTCATGATTGCCCCGTTTTCTAGATATATACTTGCACGTACAAAAAAAAAAAATTAAGAGAAGAGAGAAACTGGGTTTGTTGCTACACGAAACTGTGCAAGAGGGATCTCAGTGGTGAAGGTTAGTTAAACCATGTTCATTTAATTCTTTTGGTTAAACAAACTTTAAAGAGAAAAATGCCTAGTTTCTTTATACCGATAAACAATCCTTTTAGAATGATGCGCTCGGACACTTTCTAATGACAAGATTATTGACCAAGAAAAAAAAAGAAAAAAAAAGAGAGTGTAAGTGACAGATTTTTTGTACTTGAGGTCGGAATTCCAGCTCTAGCATGTTTCTGTTCGATACTGCATTCGAAGCATTCCTTTTTGCATTCAGACTGCTTTGGCAGAGTACTCTTAAAACCTACTTAGTTTAGTGTCTATGAGTTTTAGTAAGTAATGCAGACGCTCTGGTGGTGACGAAAATTCGTGCTTCCAAAGTACATATAGTAAAATTGCAACGATACAGAGAAGATTAACGAGGCATGAACCAGAAGCAGTTTTAGTGACGTCACAGTGAGGTGTTGTGGGAAGGTTAAGGCACCATTCACGGAGCTTTCAAACGCTCTCCGTCGCGTCACCGCCAGGACACCGCTTTTCGTCAGCGGACGGGAACAGCGGATAAATTACGGAATAATTTGCCCTACACGCTAAATTGATCATCATCCCTGCACACATTGAAACATTAATTTAAAATATTATATTGTTTGATTAGGTTGTCAACAATAAATATTTACTATGTAAAATATGTGTACATAACTCCTACATATTTGTAATTGAAAATTATATTCTATCACCTGTATATTTACATGTAACTAATTCTTCTGCACTTGTATATAGCACTCCAGGTGTTTTTTTTCTAAAATTGTTCAATATATACTTTCCACTAGCGCTGTGTAATTTCAACGTGCTTCCTAATTTATTTTTTGTATTTTATTGTTAATCGAGGGTCCCACTGCAGTCGCTTGACTTTGGGACCCTTGCCTGCATACTATGAACCATGATGCCAATTTATCAGTACAGTCATAGGTGCACAAAAGTGGAAGGGGGGAGGCGGCCGCCGCTCTTGGTTACATGAAAGGGTGTGGGGGTGCAAAGTCTGCCCCATACGATCACTTAATAGGAACTTAGGGGGGGGGGCTGCCTCCGCTCCCCCCCCCCCAGCTGAAGAGGCACCTTGCTCACTACTATGAGTACAGTAAGCGTGGTTTCAGACGTGACATCACATTCTTTAGTGTAACAACAGGTATGCTGTGATTTTGCTCGAGATAACTACGTCATGTGACGAACAAGCTAGTCTTTTAAGGTAATGTTAATGCATCGAGTCAAAACTACGGCGACATGACCCGAACTTACTACTGCAGAAACCGAACTGTGTGCGTTACTTAGCCCTGCGCTCACCCGTTTCAACCAGTGAGTACTGTACGAGGCGAATAACTGTTTTCATTTACTATCGGCGCCAGAGCACGGTCACAGCTATGCTTTTGCTCTTTCAGATGATATTCGTAACGCGGGACGTGCCGGGCTTTGTCTCGGTGACGTCATTCCGTGGACTCACCGAGATGGCACTCGAGAAGCTCCAGCAAGAAGACACGAAGAAGGCGCTGTGCGCGATCGCCTACACCTCGGGCACCACGGGCGACGCCAAGGGAGTGATGGTGTCGCAGTACAGCTTCGTAGCCGCTATCGAGAGCCTCAAGTGAGCTATAAGTTATAGCGCGAGAGCGGAACGAACACGCAGAGACAAAAAGGACACGATGGACGTGTCCTTCGTGCCGTTCTTGTCTCTGTGTGTTCGTTTCGTTCTCGCGCTATAACTACCATCATGTCATACCAACTAGCCAAAGCTGCCACCCT